CGATTGTTAAATGCACCGAACATTATACACACACATATACTGTTATATACGTCAAGTGTTGGACATTTTGTAGTACAGCGAACACACTTAAGCCCTGATTCGATTCGCTGCAAATACATATATACAGTTTGCGTAAATCCTTGGTTTTCCCATGTTTTCATATACATATTATATAAATATGTGCATATTTACGAAAGCATATTGCGTATGCTTCGTTCGTTGCAAACTTCTACCATGTGGGTGTTGGGACGAAAATAAGTGGTTTTCGAGAAAAAGGATAACAACGTAGACAATCCGCATACCGGAAGATATACACAGGATGTTGTTGTTGCTCATGTGGCGCAAAATAACACGCAAGTATCAGCTTTTCAGGCCTCCAACATAAATTTCTCTTCGTGCAACAATTGAGCACATGTATTTAGTTATTAAAGTCGCTCGAAAACTCTTAAAAAATAACAAGTTGGGCCCCTCAAAACCACGCTTACAATCGCGTGGACACGGTAATAGCGTCACGGTTGTGCTGTTTCTTGGCATCCCTATCGTTTGTGCGTTTTGAACGGACGTTCGTTAGGCACTGCAATCGAATTTCGTGCCTCAGAATGTAGCAGCAAATTAAACACGCCGCTGGATGTACAAACGCTACCTGCCTTCAACACGCACACATATTTACATGGCGAACGAGTCAGCACGCGGAAGTCGGGAAAACAAACAATACCAAGTGTTATGTGTTTAACGGTTTCTGTGGTTGCGCGCCATTTCTGTTTGCACCAATTCCAAACGCGCAACGCTCCGTTGCTATAATTGCTGTTGATGTTGAATTTTTTTTACTTCCGCTCAATAAGCAATTTAAATGTTGCAAACGAGCGATGCGCGTAAATGAAACAAAAAAGAAATCTATAAATGGACCTGAATAATACATCGCTCATAGCCATTTACTCAAACTGCCGTCTGTAGTGTGAAATCACACACGCACAAGAAAGCTCTGAGCGCTGAGGCTCGAGTGTAAAACCGTCGAAGCATACCCTTTTTAAAAATCAATATTTTGTATTCGGTCGATCAGGTGCAGTGGTTACCATCACGAACTCTGTGGTTTACGCTTTTATCGAACGGTCTGTTATTTTTGCAATGTTCACCACATTCATAGAGGAACGTGCGTAATCTATGAAATTGTGAAGAAAAGTGAAGAGAAGCATTTAAGCGCTCTTAGCTTCAGGCAACGGAAACTATGAAAAGCTGAATAGTGTGCGGCAGGCAGAACTAATATGCGAAGTAGTAAATGATTTGTACGCCCGGATATCTGTATTTGAAATATTTGCTTTGCTCTTTGTCTCTGTTTTAGCTCTGACATCATATACCTTATATGTGCAAGTGCACGCTTCAGCGCCACCTTGTACTCTATTCAAACCAAACTGATACTGCTCTTGTTCCGCCCACGCCAGCGAGAGATACACAGACACCTTTTTTGCGCTAGTGACTGAAGCGTGCGTTTCTGTAGCAGCACATGCTCCTTCACTTTTCATTTAAATTAATTATTTATCTAATTCTTGCTCTCAATTTGCTGTCTGGTCCATTCCAAATAGCTACACAATAAATGCTCGTGTGTATGTGTGTGTGCGGGTTTTGCACGACAAAGCCACATTTAAATCATTTGTTTACCTGAGCACTATACCCTGCAGCGCCTTTGTTATTTTAATTACTTTGCACAAATTGACATTAATTTGTAAATTTCCTGCGCTTTTGGCGTATTCCGCTTTGCCTTGGTAAGTGTGCGTTCATTTAACACAGTCACGCCGTAATGCAGCTGTGTTGTGATGTTCGTGTTGTATGTCTACAAGTTGGCAACGCTTGGTGCACTCACCAAGTTGTTGTCTTAGTTTAATGCTCTTAATTGCAAAACATTAATCGAAATTTATTTTATTTTCATAGCATTTTAATGGAGCGCTAAGTAACACAAAGGTAGGCGGTAGTAGTATAAATTAAATTGTGTAATAGTTGTTAAAAATTGCTAAAACTACGTCTCTGCGAACACTCAAGATTTTGCACAATGCATTGTAATTTGCAAGTAGTAGGGCAATTAAGCTAATTCGGGCGTTTAGTCTAAACAATTAATGCTTTAACAAGTTATTAGTTGTTAGGGTTTAGCCAAGCACAAGTGAATTGTAAGCCGCGCGTGTAGTTTGAGCCCGATGCGCCACCAGCCGCCGCTGCCACAAAATCTGATCGATATACATATGTTCATGCCCACATCGGTTTTAGCAAGCATATGCACCAGTGCGTATGCCCGCTAGTTTGCCGCAAATTATAAATTCAATTAGTGTGAGTGGCCAGTGGCGCGTCGAAAAGCATTTGTTCTAGTCCTAATCGCGCGCCGGCTGCTACAACATTTATGCATTAACGCCATTCATAAAGGCAACACATATAAATACATAACGTGGGTGTTTGTGTAATTATGTGTTTATGTGCGTGGGCGTGTGCGCGTATTTTGATATACTTAAGCATTGACCTCAGCTCCTATTTATTAATTTGTAATGCGTCAGTTGATTTTTGTCCTCCGGTCTAAGTAATCGGAACGGACTCGGATTTTTATTCAGCCAAGGACTCGACACCATTCCTCGAAATTACTTCAGAAATGTTTTCTGCCGCTACAACAACAACCACTTTTGTCCTCTCCTTTTCAGCAATAAATACTCACATACATTTATAGTTTTCAAAGAAATTCAAGCAATGGCTGTTGTTTGTCTAACAATTATTCCTACATACTTGCATATATCAATACGTCTCTTTAATGAATGCATGTGCGTCTATTATATACTACATGGGCTGAAAAGTATTTGGCCTAACTAGGAGATTGCGACAACGATTCATGCAATCATTCACAAGTTATAATCCTGCCGGACGCAATGATGTATCTTAATCAGTGAGGCCACTGCAGAAGGAATTACATTATGAAATAGCCCCCCTTCATAGTATTCACCGGATTTCCACGGCTCGCAGAAAAAGGATTTCATTCAAATGAAGAGGTATAGATAAAAACAAATGCCTATTTTGCTGACCGCGAGACCCAATCGAAATTTCAAAGTGATTTCTTGATGCGAAATTTATCATCGGTTAGAATATGCTTGCTACTATATTATTATTCTTATTTTTTCAACAACTCAATAATCCAATTCAAGCGTCACGCTTCAATACTTTGTACTAAAAGGTGTACTACACTGAACACTTTTAGAGTAAATGTAAATGAATAAAAAAAATTAAATCCCAACACGTACTAACAAATAGATACAGCTGAAGAAATCAAACATGCCGCCGAAATCAGAATTGTTTTTAAATCTTCGTACGCACACGTACGCCAATTTAACGTTCGTAAAAACAATTACCCCTAACTACGTTACTTTTTTACCAATGCGTCGTGCACGCAAAAGTACATACATGGCATGCAGTCACCGGCAGGCATAACCAGAACAAGACGGCGTTGTGTCAAGGCCAACGACTGCCATCAGTGCCTTGAAGAAAAAAACGGTTTTTTTGTTGAATTTTTGCTTCACATATGTATATATTTTTGCCTTATGTAAGACTTAAAAAACGACACAGCAGAAGTGGCGTCCGAAAGAAACAATCCAAACCGCGAAAATGGATCAACCGAAGAGCGCTAGAAGAAAAAACATTTGAGGTTAAACTGCAAACAATAGAAGTTTTTTTTGTCAGTCTTCAAGTGCGCAGACAAAAGCAAAGTACACAAACATTCTAATTCGGTAAAGTTAAATAAGTAACGGAACTAAAAAAATGTGCGGTTTAAGATTGTTACACTGTATATATGCGCCTTGTTGTGACAAAGGGTGCCGCCAAGCCACTGGCCTCCACAACTGATCTATGTGGTCTGCCGGGGTCGCTCTTCGCACCTAATTGGCATTTACTCTCTTCACTTGCCTTCCATTGTTTTTTGTTATCATTGTCATACCTTTATGCCCAATTCAGATAGAGCTTTAGACAGAAAAGTACGATGTACGCTTTTGTATGAATACGTTCAGATAAAAAGTTTTCGACGCGAAGCCAAGCAACTCTCATCTTTTTACGCTTTGCCAAGCAACAGTCGCCATTTCTATTAGAGAGAAACACTGGCATAAACTTTGTTTGCTGCGCTTCGTTGTTTTAGTATGCACTGTCATGTAAAGCGAGGCAGGTTGTATGTGAATTGGCCTTTATTCTCCTTGCGTGCGTGACTAAAATCAATTTGTTGCTGGTTGAAGAAATTGACCGTCGCTGCAGCAAAGACACTGCAATAAATGCCTACAAAGTTCTTCTTGCATGAAATACTTGTACATTGAGCTTGGTGCGGGAAATATGTTAAGTTACGTTGTACAATAACAACAGTCAGCAGGCATAAAACAATGCCAAACGGCTAGTCAGCAGTCGGCATGACAAATAGTCGTCTTTGCTTTGTGCTCGTGCTCCTCGCCGTAGTTGCAGTATAGATTGCAGATTGTCGCAGTGTTAGAGAAACAAGAACATTGTTGCGTCTGGCGATTAGCCTGTATGGTGCCTACACATATAAATTATACTACACTACATGCAACTGTTGTTTGAAAATAACATTACGCAGGAAATGGCTTTATTGTTGTGGTTATTTGACAAATGCTGACATTTATCCCTGAACACGCAAACGCAACGGCTACAACAACAATTGTTTTTTCTTTAGCCAACATAACATTTCCCATTTCCCCAACACTACATAATAGTTATATAAATATACAATGATTGCAATGACAGACTTTTAACATCGCCTTATGTTAATTTTGATTCGAGCAACGTTTTCTGCAGATCGTGATTTTGTCTTGAGTGAGACTCAAAGCACCTACAATCGTTCATTAAACTGACTCGGCGATTGTGTTGATTAGCATTTATTAAACAGCTGCATTTATTAGTATCTATGAGTCAAGAAAAACTTAATTCTAAATGCGCTACAATCACTCAGCCTCAGAGTAAGCAGCTAAGCTTTAAATTTAAATCACCTCTTGAATATTTCATTAACAACAAAGAGTGCGACAAACGTCTTCGTAATTTGACAACTAATGAAAATACTTTAAAACAAGGCATTGAAAATAACTTTTGAAAACTGCAATATTTCTTTGCGGTTGCAAACAATGAGCTTAAAAGCAGTAATATACATTTGCCGTAAAATAATAATATTTGGATTACATAAAATAAATGGCTGTTCCATACAAAATTATCAAATACTTTTGGAATGATAAGATAATGCGATACGATACTGCTCATCTGCATGTATGTCGCCATCTTGAAGAAAGGATTGAAGATATATTTTTTAAAAAAATATTCGCTCCCACAAAATGCATTATTTAGAATTAAAATCGGAAAAGCATAAAAATTAATATAGAAATTAATTCAACTCCGCCAAATTTAAAAAATATTTCAACTTTAGCAGCACAACAATAACAAAACGATCGCAACGTAACGCATATACATATAAAAATTCGTATTCCAATATATATATATATATATATTTCAGGTGCACTTATGAATAACGACGTAAAGAGGAATGGTGTAACTAAACCAGTTAGAGCGCAAAGGATATAGAAGCTAGCAGTCAAAGAGTTCATGGTTTCGCTGTCACTATAAATCCTTTCTTCAAATTCACATCCAGTTAGCGCTAAGAACTCTAACAAATACAATAACACGAACAATGACAAGAGCACCACCGCCAGCAGTATAAAGTGTAGAAGAGCTCTATGTTCTTCGAATTTCACATATGTGTAAGTGCTTCCACATTCTCACATCAACAATGCACTAACACAGTTTTAAGCATCGTTGCAATTCAGAAGAACCTGCTCTTTGACTGTTCACTACGACTATTTTGTAAAGCAAGTAAACTCTCCAACTCATGTCTTAACAGTTAGATATTTCGTTTGCAGCGCTTTGTATATGTAAATATGTCGTATAATTTCAACAAAATATGCGAAAACCCAATTGAAGTTAAGTCATATTTTGAAACGCAGCCAACATCGGTGAAACTTTATTTTTTCATTCAAAATTGAAAAAGCCACTTGAGTGCATATCGCCTTGCTTTGGCTTCTTCATAGTTATTTTGCCCAGCTTATGGTGGTAGAGTGTTTCAAGCGCATCTGCTACACTTAGCCGGACGGTTAGCTTCATTGACGATATGACATAAAGAAGCATATGAAAGGCAACTGTATGGCTACTTAAGTGATGCCATTGTTGAAACTAGTGGTCGAGGTTTCATCAATGTTGACGACGCTTTGTAACTATTTGGCTTCTACTGATAGAATAGAAGAAAGTAGTTTTAAAAAAATGGTTGTACTTTGGCAACACTCAGAAATGATTTTACGCTGTTTCAATTATATGCTGAGCAAGGTTGATTAAGTTTGTCACGAAGTTTGTAACATCCAGAGAGTAACGTGGAAGATCAGCGTGACGAGCTGAGTTTACTAGTCTCTTTGGCATACATAGTACTTCTCTCTACAAGAAACTGGGGTACAAGAAGGGTATTATAGCTGCGGTACAACTGAAGTTAACGTTTTTGCTTGTTTTAACTTATTTAATAAAAACCATTTCTAAAGCATTGAAGGCCATATTTCAAAGAATTCTCAATATTCAAGATTCAACAAATTTCAAGCGACGTGTAAACATTTCGGGATATTTTCGTTCAGTGGTCATCGACAAAGACTTTATAGCTTTCACGTAACAGCGTAGATTTCTAAATTCAGACGCAATTCCATAGCCCTTACATGCGTAGTAAATTGCTTTAACTAAGCAAAAGCCCGAGGATACAATTTAGCAATGGGATTTGCGCAATCAAATAAAATGTTCGTCATACGACCCGCTGAACCAGTTTAGTTCAAAGTAAATGGCGATATAACAATAGATTGTTGGAGAATAAAAATGCATGCATATTTTAGAAAAGATTACGCTTTTACTGCTCACGGGCTGCAGCGCTGCGTAGAGAAATGTATTTTATATTCATTTGCCAGTTTTGTGCTCTTCTTTGTGCGCATTTCGTGTGGCTTTTCGACTGCCGTGTGCGCTCCACGCGGCATTTCCATTTTTAAGTAATTTCATTTTCATTGTCCATTTTATGTGAATTTCTCGTTCTTGATTTTGTACATTTTTTTCACTATGCACTCCAGCTGGATAAGTGAAGCCACAAGGCGCAAAAGAACGGTATATGACGGAGGTGTGCTTGGGTGGCGTGTGGCACTGTGAAGCGCTTTTTTTCTATAACGGTACTGTGCGATAACTAAAATATAATAAATGTAAAAATCCATTTGAACTTTTATCACTTGCAGTCATATTTTTTGCAAGGTCTGTATGGAATATCTGTATGTTGGTACATAAGTGGCATGCGATCTGTTACAGCGCAGAACAACAATAATACGAGCTTAAGAATATACGAAAATAAGAGCAGCAGCAATGGCTTCGTGTGGGCGAACGTGAGGTCGACAGCGCTGGGCAGCTCTGAAATGGGAAGGAGGCGATGCTGTACCGTTAACGTCAGCGCGGCACCATTGTGGTTGCAAGTATTGCGTAAATTTTAATGGAAGTGATATTTTTGATTTGCATTTCATGCAACCGACGCGGCAACGCTTTGCTACACGAAGCTGCAAGAGGCAGCGTGTGGAGCACTGCAGTGGTGTAGCATGAAATGTGGAAGTGCAGGAACAACTGTAACACAAACAATCGAAAGCGAAATATAAATGTCTGAAAAAAAAACAACGAGAGCGAAAACGGCAACAAACGACGGCACGAAGAAAGGGAATTGTGAATTCAACGAAGTGAAATGGCAATGCAATGGCAACTGTTGAATGCTGAATGTTGCAAGTTGCGGCTATAGACGGTTGTGTATATTCCACTGGCTTACGGTAATTGTATTTATATATTTGTATGTGTATGCGGTTTGGTGCAAATCTGTTTGCCTGTGTATGTGAAAGCAGGTGAGTGGCTTGGCCACTTTCCGCTGTGGCTTTGCTGTTGTTGTTATTGTAATATAATGGCTTTTATAACGTTATAACTTTAGTTATATACATAACTTTTGTTGTTGTTGAATTTGTGTAAATTGGTTAAGTGGAAATGCCGTCAAACGCTCTATGAAAACGGTGCAGCCGAATTAGGTCGTAGCTCTTGCTTCCGTAGGTTTTATACGTGGTTTGTGCAAAACCCAAACGCCTTTACAATTAAGTTACATAATTGTACAAAGCAGATAGAGGACAGCCAAAGAGATTAAATTTTTGTACGGAAAAAACTTAATATACGCTATGAAATGGATTGGCCCTTACTATATATCATTATAATCGAGCATTTTGCAGACTATTTTTTTAGAGATGCAACTCTAAAATATCTAACGGCTGCTCACTCTCTCGGAATACTTACTAGAAGCTATCGAAAACTTAGCACCGCTTACCAAAAAATCGGTTCGAATAGATTTAAGACTAATGACGCCATATAACCTTTTGACCTATTATTAATCCAGAGACCATCTTCCACGATAACCGGTCTCTTCTTTCCACATGAAGCTGATGATATTTGCAAGAGGCTAAGAGTTCTGTTAACCAGCAAAATATCTATTTTATTATTTCTTTTATATTACTATTTATTTTATATATATTTTTCGGTGTTAGCGTCAGCAACAACAAACAATGGTCAGTGACAGACGACCCGTATGAAAGCAGAAGCATAATAAAGATATCAATATTCGCGCAAATAATTTATTTATTTTATTTTATTTCAGTAAAAAAAAATCTCTGTACTTAAAGGAACTGAAGTTATGCTCAAATTCACTGCGCTGGAATTGCGCTTCCGTTTTTATAATTTGTGAATTTGCCATTATCACTTTACGCATGTGGCTAAAATCTGGCAAATCCATGTTCCACATTAACACATGCGCTCCTCGTATGTATATAGATATGTAGTAATACTGTCTCCCTCTGTATTAGCCGTAATTGTTTCGCCAATCCCTTCAGCTTGTTTTATTACTTTCACCGAATAGCTGGCCGCTACTTAACCTACGCTTCATAAATTAATATGTCTCTGTGTAAACATATACATACATATGTACATATTATGTATGTATGTATATTAATAACTTATGTCATATAGGCGCCGCTTGGGTAGAATCACAAAGCAGAATGGTTTATACATATTTGATACGTACGAGTACTTTTAGTGCATTTGTTTTAGGAACGCCCTTAGCGCTAGCACAACGCATCCATTAACATTTGATGACAAGACAAGGCAGAATTACTCCCGGGAGAAGCCAAATTAGGCAAAATGTGTCTGTTTTCAAGCAGAAAGCCATAATATTCACATGTTCGTTCTTATATCCCGTTTATGTGTAAGTAGCCAGCGAGTGATTTCAATGGACTAAAGTGCGCACTGGTTTATGTTTGGAGCTTGTGACATAACATAAATTTGTTTTATTGTTTCTGTTATCTAATTGGCGCGATCTTGATGACGCACTAAAACTCAGTAAAAAAAAAGTAAAAACCGAGAAAATATTTCTTTTGCACATGTACAGCGTGTACAGCCAAGCCGAGTTAATAACTAACTAATTGATTGTCTAACGGTTTAGACACATAGCTATATGGTATATAGATATATGTAAATAAATTTGGATATATGGTTTTTAGCTTAAATATAAATAAACCCTTTGCTTATCCGGTAATATTATCGTAGCATATGAGCCGATCAATAAGATAGCGCTGTATAGCTAACAATTTGCCATGCAAGACCCGAAAAATCCATTCGGAACAGTAAAGTCCGTATTGCGTGGCATTATTAGCAGTTGACAGGTCAAGCGCGAAGTGAACGCCCCTAATCCACCAGCAACAAATCATCGAGGGAATTTGAAACTTATGCGTAGCAACTGAACAAATGGAAAACACGCTTATTTCAACCTCATTCACATCTAAGCCGCGCGTATGATAACCACCGCAGGCGAACGTGCATAGTCACTTAAATATAGAAGATTCTTATCGCATATTCACTGTAGTGCGTGGACTTGTCGTTGGCTGTTGCCGCCCAGCCAGATTTTGTTCTTTACGAAATAATAATCGAAACAGTTGGTGTGTTCGTTTGTCTGTCTAATCGGCGTAATTGCTGGTTGCATGCGTGTGCTAAGGGGCGTACTTCTGACTTTGCTTGCTCCATACGAGCTGAGCGTGTACCCGACGCCGGTCATTCATACGCACTATTAGCGATAGCTGGAAGAAACTGAGAAGTATAATATATGTGTCGTAATCACCACTTCTTTGAATCGTGATTGGGCGATCCCTGAACTGTGTCTGCGAGCACGTGTGCGATGTAAATGAAGCTTTATTTGTGTTAAGTTTGTATTACCCTGCAGGAAAATGTATTCGTTTAAAACTGGTTTAGCTGCACCATTCACTTAGGAAATGTCAAGAGACAACATCTGAATATATTTTCGGCAATTTCCTACTGAACGTTGCTTTAGTAGATTGTTGCTGTTGCAAGGTCGCCAATATTTTCTCACCTTACACACACAATCCGTATATGTGTCTGCTTTGTGCATAGATTTGTATAACGCTTACGGCCCTTACGTTTTCACCTAACCAGGTATATTTGTTGTTAATATCAAACACACTTTTTTTTCAAATGAGCAAACGCAGTGCTCCTGTTAATGCCTGGAAGGGTTTTGTTGGCGTGTTGTCACCTGTGAGTTTTCAAGCGCGCTTTGCTTAACATGGAATGCCATAAAACACTTAGTCTATTACTCCAAAGGGAGGCGTAAACAGCAAAAGCGCGGCGTCATGCGTGCTCTACAAAACTACCAAACTACAAAACCGCTTGCTTTAACTATTCTAGTAATGCGTTGCCCAATAGTGCTGGAAAAAGGTGGCAACGAAAGCACTCCTAACTCTTCTCCATGTGTATTTAAGTGCTTACCACGTTGTTAAGTAAAAAGCCATGTCTGCACCTACTTGTAGTTTAAGCGAAAGGGCGGCACCAAATGTCAACGAACTATTGTCGCTGCTTTCAACCCTTTGTGCAAAATATTCATAGAACTATACAAGGAATTATATGCTACGATATATGACAAAACTAAACGAATGCTATCAGAAACACAATGTTGTTATGTTAAATAAATGTTTCTTATAAATATGCGATATTTCAGCGAAACTTGGAAATACTTGTGATCGGAACCGTCGGTGTCAGACCACTTTAGCATATAGCTGTCGTTCAAATTGATCGAACCAAGTTAATATAAAGTAACCTTAGTCTGACTCGAAGGTTGTTTATATTGAACCACGTGACCAGAAAATATAAATCAGTTATACGCTTAAAGTTAACGTTTTTACTTGTTTCATGTTATTTTTTAATCAAAAATACCCACAAAACGCAAAGAATAAAATGAAGTCAAAATTAAAATCATTCCACTGCATGAAAAGTTAAGTCATAATAAATATTTGAATTTCATATATAAATACCAATTACGATATTTCAATTTGCATTCGAGTGAGTAGCTAAGCACAAGCTATAACTGTTCTATTTTACGAAAGCACAGCAAATTGTACAGACTAAATTGCAAATAAAGCAAAACACAAGCGCCATTGGTTAGACGAAATTCGTTTATTGTAAAAATTTAGTCGTGCATAAGCCACTGAGCAAAACCGAAACTGAAACGCGACCGCTGCGGCCGTCTAGGAATAACATAGTATAAACGACGCTGGTAATGGCGGGAAATGAACGCAAAGTAAGACATGGATAATTCACGAAATGTGGCAGAAATGAAGTCACCAGCGGAACAGCAAGACACGAACCACAGCAGTCAAGTGCAGCAGCCAGCGCGGCACAAATCAGCGAACAATGAACGCAACCAAGCGAATGCAGCAACAGTTCGGTGGATTTGCGCAAAATCTTCATTCGCTTGAGCGTACGCCACTGGCAAATTTATCGCAACTAAGTGAGTAATGAGAGAAATGGCAGACGACAGACGAAAGGGAGAGAATGCGATGCTTAACGGTGGCACAGGCGACGAACAGCCACAACCGAATATGCCTAGTAGCGAGGAGAAAAAATATCAAAAATTCTATTGAAGTATGAATATAGCAACAAAACGTAGATGAACTAGAGCTGAGCATGCAAATTATTTCATTCTAGTTTTCGGCAAAATTTACGCCACTTAATTAAGTACTTCAAAGCTCAGCCATAAGAAATGGTGTGGTAAAATATAAATATTGTGCCACCCACACGCTCAAGAGTAGCCAATTACGTATTTATATTGATGAGTTTGACATAAGGAACGCCTAATTAAGTCTGAAGGATTTGGCTGCGTAAGATTGGATTACGTAACCTGTTGGCGCCTGTGGACGAGCAGATACATTACTTTTTTCGAAGCAGTGCTCTATGCATTCGTTAAGTATGCAAATTGTAGGAAGCGTTTGCTTGTTATTTAATTTATAAGAATACAAATTAATTTCCGAAGTATAACGAAGACAGACGTATGCTACTGACAAACATGTAATGTTTTAAGCAAACTTGCAATAAAATAGAAGCCCAAACTTATATACATACCTGGCCAAAATTTAATTTACTTATCAAACAAAAACAAGCTAAATTGCACAATATTTTCTAAATTTCTTAAAACACAACTTAATTTTCCATAAAAAAAAAGACTCAAATCGGAAGCTAATGAGTAGTTTGAGGCACTAGCGAATTGGAACGGAAACTTGTACTTCCTTACAAGAGATGTGCATGAAATATTCTACGTTTCTTCGGCATATGGCGTTATAGAGAGTTCTAGTTATTAATTCAGCATAATGCTGGAAACGAACACCGAAGTACCGCCCTTCCGTACTTACCGCCCGTATAAAACAAAATTTGTCAAAAGTTATGGCCGTAGTGGGAACATAGAAATCAGCTGTTCTCTTTTTTTTTCATTTTACTAATGTTGCCATTGCTTAGTTTGTATACATGATTTCGCACACATTTAGTTTTTGAGTTATAATTTTTCACAATGTAAAAGCTTAAAACTAAAATGCAATTATTAAAAGTAGTCTACTTATTTATAAATGAGTGTATTCGACTGTGATTTTGAGTTATTTGAATAATATTCCAAATATATTCAAGCTTATTTTT